TACTGGGGATAACTCGGGTCCTTGCACTTGCGAGGCAGGCAGCAGAACCACTGAGCTAAATCCCCAGCCCATTATATAACTATTTGTTGTAAAGTATTGTACAAATTTTTGTTTGTCCTATAAATATTGTGGGGGTTTTTTTTTTGTTTTTTGTTTTTTTTCTGTACCAGGGATTGAACTTGGGCCCTTGGGCTTGTGAGGCAGGTGGTAGAACCATTAAGCCAAATCCCTGGCCCTGTTGTCTTCATTTTGATGTTTAAATCATCTCATATTTGGACAGAGGAAAATCCTTGAGTTTGGTTCCTGTGTCCTTTTGACATTTTCCTATCATTTTTTTTGAGAATGTCATGGTAGACATTTAAGAGGGGAAGCTGAGTTGGAGAGATAGATTGATTATCATATTCAATTTACTAGGAGATCAGGACCTAAAAAAATAATATATATGAGCACAAAGAGTTTTGGTGGTAGAGAAGAGTGGAAAACAGCTCCTATAAGGAACTTCTACTATCTTTTTGAGTATCATTTTAGGCTGAGCCTAAGGACACACAATAGAGATGTTTTATGGGCAGCTTTAGGTATGTACCCAGAGTCCAGGATATTGGTACTTTATTTCTATGTCTTGGGCATGTGTGTCTGCTGAAATACACACACAGTTTGGAATGAATGGATGAATGCTGGCTTCCAAAACTACAGACAGGGCTTGTGTCATTCATAGCTTCTTTTTCCTCTCAGCCATGTCTATGTCTCAGAGTCCCACACCTTCCCAGAAAGGGAGTTCTGGAGACCAGGAGATGACATCCACAATTCACAATACAGGGTTCCAGGTGAGTTGTGCACTTCTTACTAAAATGCCACAGCTCTGGTTGTTAGTGGTTTTAGTGGCTACCCTATGTCCCTACTGTTCTGTAGCAGTTCCTGTTAAAAAGCTTGCCTCACGTTCTTTTGCATGGTGTCAAATTGATCCTTCTTATCCCCCAGGAAATCTAATGCACTTTCCTCCTCTCCCCAGTTATTCAGATCGCTTTCCTTACTACATTCCTATCTCTTAATGCTCTCATCACACTGGCAGGTCTCTGACATTGTGGAACAGTTCCAGGCCTCAAATGATGATTTTGTTTTATTTCAGACTTTGGAGAAGATTGAAGACATGGCTGTATCCCTTATTCAAGAGGAATGGCTTCTAGATCCATCAAAGAAAGATCTAAGTAGAGAGAACAGGCCAGAGAATTGTAAGAACATGTTCTCCCTGGGTAAGAAGAGCTGAATTTAACCACTGAAGATTTTGTTGGTTTCTTTTTATGTGTGTAGTAGCGTAGTAGCTATGAGCTTACTGGAAAATATAATTAAGTTTAAACTCAGGCTCCAGCAGAGGGTTACAAGTTTGAGACTTCTCGAGATGTAAACTGAACCTTTGTTTTCCAACCCAGGAATTCCTCACAGTTTGTATTTGGGTATTGTTCTGTTTGTCAGTTGGAAATTAACCTCTGTCTAGCATTTCTCTGTCATGCATTTCTTCTCCCAGTTCCTATTAGAGCTTTACGGGATTTTCTCATCTAATATACTGTTCGTCCTCCCTTTCCATGACTGTGTGGTGCATTTGCCCTTTTCTGTCCCTCTCCTCAGACCTCGATATTCCCATGTTTCTTCCCACTCCTCGGCTTCCACTGCTCTTCAGTTGATCTCTTCCCAACTTTATTCCCCCCTTAGTAACCCTTTTTTCCATGGAACTACTTCCTCATTTGGCCTGTGGTGTTTCTCTTTTATTCCACACAAAACTCTTGTCTACTATGCAGGAGACAGAGAAGTTTTGTGTCTCCTTATAGCTGTCTCGTGTATAGTTTTTTTGTTTGTTCGTTTTAGTATATCTAATATGAAGCTATTCTGGCTTGATGTTTATTACATTTTTATTTCAGGTGGTGAGACCAGGAATGAGAACAAGGAATTGACTTCAAAACAGGTAATATCTGCTGGAATCCAGCCCCATGAAGAGACAGCTGCCAGATGCAACGGGGATGTTATCAGGGGTCTTGAGCATGGAGAACCCCAGGACCTTCTGGGCAGATTAGAGAGGCAGCGGGGAAATCCCCCCCAAGAAAGACGACATAAATGTGATGAATGTGGGAAAAGTTTTGCTCAAAGCTCAGGCCTTGTTCGCCACTGGAGGATCCACACTGGGGAGAAGCCCTATCAGTGTAACGTGTGTGGTAAAGCCTTCAGTTACAGGTCAGCCCTGCTTTCCCATCAGGATATCCACAACAAGGTAAAACGCTACCATTGTAAGGAGTGTGGTAAGGCCTTCAGCCAGAACACAGGCCTGATCCTGCACCAAAGAATCCATACTGGGGAGAAACCGTATCAGTGTAACCAGTGTGGGAAGGCATTCAGCCAGAGTGCAGGCCTTATTCTGCACCAGAGAATCCACAGTGGGGAGAGACCCTATGAATGCAGTGAGTGTGGGAAGGCATTTAGTCATAGCTCACACCTCATTGGACACCAGAGGATCCATACTGGGGAGAAGCCCTATGAGTGTGATGAGTGTGGGAAAACCTTCAGGCGGAGCTCACATCTTATTGGCCACCAGAGAAGCCACACAGGGGAGAAACCCTACAAGTGCAATGAGTGTGGGAGGGCCTTCAGTCAGAAGTCAGGCCTCATTGAACACCAGAGAATCCACACTGGAGAAAGACCCTATAAATGTAAAGAATGTGGAAAAGCTTTCAATGGGAACACTGGCCTCATTCAGCATCTGAGAATCCATACAGGGGAGAAGCCCTATCAATGCAATGAGTGTGGGAAAGCCTTTATTCAGAGATCAAGTCTCATTCGACATCAGCGAATCCACAGTGGAGAAAAATGAATCCATAGTTTAGGAAGCCTCAGTAACAGTTTGAGCATTATGCAGCATGAAAACCATACACTGGTGGTGAAGTCTTTCAGTAGTTTAAAAAAAAAACAAAAACAAGAATGATGGTAACATCTAGAGGCAGCAGGGTTAGAATAGCTCTTGAGTAGGTTGGGCTGAGTGCCTGGACACAGACGGATTAGCTTGACTTCTTAGGAGGTTTGATGGAGTGGACTGTCCAACAGCCTGACACATCTCTTAGAAATTTAAAATAGCACTAGAGCTTATCATGGCTTAAGACACTAAACTTTGTCTTTTCAGTGAGTAGCTATAAGTTTGAGAGAGGCTGCTGCTCCTAGCTCATCTGCTTCTTATCCTGTGATCTCCCATACATTCCCCTGAAGGTGCCCTCGTGCTCTTCATCTAAGAAGCTGCTGTAGCATCCCAGGCAGCCTCTCCCTGAGATTTATTTGTAATTAGCTTCTTAAGAGCCTAGATCTAGGGAGGTTTTTATAGATACAGTTTGTTTATGCTTAAGTGTTTCATTTTTTTATTCTAATGTTCCTTCTAGTTGGTGGAAATCCATATTCCCATGCAGACCCAGAATACTATATTTTTAACAGCACTGCAACATTTTGCTTCATTTGTCACGCTACTGACTCCACTGAGTCACTGAGCATCTGTGTGTATCCTTCACCACCCTCATCCCAGTACCTGTGTCAGCAAAGGAAGGGGACACATTAGTGATGGTTGTGGGAGTGATACAGAGAAAGGAGACTCAACCTGGCTGTTCTTGAGCTTGGACATTTGTCCCTTGTGGTGACCTCTGTCCTTCCATTTCCCCACTGTACTCTGGGGTACAAACGGTATTTTCACTGCCTTAGTTATGGCATCATGTAGGACAAAAAGTAGGCAGAGTAATGAAGACACAAAAAGTGTTCAAAAGACTTACATCATCCCTTCGGCCAATTATGTACTGCTCTCTCAGGTTCGTATCCACCTGCACAACTCTTGACTAGAGGGGCTCTTGCCTCTGTGGTTTCCATGGACCCACCTCAGAAGGCTGCAGCACTTCACACGTCACTCTCCATCAGGTCCTTGCCATTTGCTTGTATGATTTAATAGCCTTGTTAACAATCTGTCAAATACCTTACCTCACAATTCCCCTTTCTTCTGAACTCTGGTACACTCCATCAGTAATCAGCATTTCTAATCTCCTAACAATACACACAATTAACCCTGTAGGGGTTGAGGTCCAGCGCTAGCAATATGTAAGAAGAATTTGTATCTCTCAGGTCAGCCATGACCTCCAAAGGGTAAAACTATGAGCTCCAGAAACTATGTATCATCTTTGAGGGCTTTTACTATTCCAGGGGATTCATATAGCAATGAGATTGGTTTTTTCTAATTAATTAAGTTTATTGGGACATTTTAGATATACATAATGATCACAGTCATCATTGGGAATTTGTACCTGTACGGGATATGTGTTTTGTTTTGTTTTTTTTGTTTTTTTTTAGTACCAGGGATCAAACTTGGGTCCTTGTGTTTGCAAGGCAGGCGGTGGAACCACTGAGCTAAATCCCTGGCCTCTGTACAGGATATATCTTGATTGAGACTGATTTAAAGTGACATGCCAGATTCAATATAGAGTATCCTTTAAATTGGTTAGTTCTCCATATTCTCAAGTACTATTATTTAATAGTGTTACTGTTCCTCCAAATCTGTAGGACATTCTTAGAAGTCCCATTTTATAAACCACACAAAAAAATCGTCTATTACTCTTGACTGAATTCTGTTTTGACCAATTGATTACCCACTTACTCATTGAATTTGGAATTCAATAACTTTTGCTTTCAAAAATTAACCCTCAAGAAAATTATCCCATCTATTCAGAAGACCAATTATATATGTTCTGACAAAACTTCCAAGAGAAATAATGCCATTTCACACTGTGACTGTCCTGAAAAGGTATAACAGTCGTGTTGTTTTCTGATCGATGTTAAAAATCAATTATAAAACCTCATTGAGGTTAACCTTTGATTCATAAATTCTTTCCCCATAATATCTTTATGTCCCTGTGAGCCACCTTGACCATTAACAATTCTGAGATTATTACTGTTTGTTTCATGGAGCCATTGGTACCCATTCCTCCCTTGTCATCCTGGTTGCCTTGGTTACTTTTTTCAGATTTGTTCTTTTTATTTTCTTACCCTTTGTTTTTTTTCTCTCTTTTGTGTGCTGAGAATTGAACCCAGGGCCTTGTGCCTGCTAGGCAAATTCTGTACCACTGAACTACATCTCCCAGCCCCTCTTCTTTTTTGACACATAAATTACCATTCCTATTTCCCTGCTCTTGAAATTTTCACAAACCAGAAACAAGTAAATCTGGTATCCAGGTCCTTGTCCTTTGCTTTGGTTGTGCCTTATCCTCTGTGCTACTGATTCTGCCTGGTCCCAGTGCTCCACTGTGTGCAGCTCTTTCATAAGGTGAGTCCACTGTCAGGGAAGCTGCACGTACACCCACACATGCATATGTATGTACACCTTTCAGGTTCTTCAGATGAGCACTTGTCATCAGTTGCAATAAAAAGCTTTTTAGCAGAGCAACATGATGAAATGCCTATATTCTGGCATCTCTTGGCAGCAGTATGCAGAGTAATGTATAGCCAGATCACTTAAATCTCAGAATTATTAATTAAACATCTGTCATAATTCAGAGAAAGTAACATGACTAAGATGAATGGCATCTGTTCTCTCTTATTTTGCAGATTTTGATTGTGAACTTTACACTGGTATTTTTTGGCTCATTCTTAGCTTCTCATTTTAGCATCTGGCATGATACTTGTGTAATTCTGTTGCCATCCAACAGTCTTGGGAGAGGCACTGAAGATCAAAGATCTCAGTGAGGCAGGCCAACTGGTATGGTAGAAATACAGTGCTTTACTAGCTAGCCGTTTTACTTTACGCTTGGTTCCAAGTTCCAGGTGATATCAGCTGCCAAACCCTATATTAAGCATCTCCTGCCTATGATGGATTAAGTTTCTATCCTACCAGTCTGGCTGTAGAACCTGTGCTCCTGACCACTGCTCTGATACCTACAATGAACACTCTAACCAGTCATTTAGAAAGCACATAAGTCAGGTTATGAGAGGTCCTGGGTAAGGTAATGTCTAGAAGGTGCAAATCAATTGCAGTTCCTGGAAAATTGGTTGAAAATAGCATTTGGAGTTACACCATCTTTAAATGATGCTTTTGATGCATTCTACAAAGCTAAATTATATAAATAAAACATGTTTAAAAGAGTACCTGGGAGGATCAAGCAGTAATAACATACATTCTGATACATTTCCCTCTCAACTGCCTAAGGAACAGTAAAATTCTGGAGGAAAAAATAAATCCATGTTCTGGGCTGGGCAGATGGACAGTGAAGATGACAATAGTTAAATTCATGTGCAACATAAAACATGGAAACTCCACCCTGTCACCCATCTCCACCTGCCATTCTATTTTTCCTCAGTCATTACTGATTTTTCCAACATCTTCTATTTTTAATCAGTTTTCTCCTAAATTTAGTCTTAAAATTTCTCATTTTTTTGTTTTTGTTTTTTATTTTTTACTCATCATTCCGTTAAAATATCCTAAGGCTCCTTTTGTATAAATACTAAGGCTTTTAAAAGGTTCTTGTTCTTAATCTCATGTATATCTCTTTTTTTGGGGGGGGTTGGGGGGTGCTACCGGGAATTGAACTGAGGACCTTGCGTTTGCGAGGCAGGCAGAACCACTGAGCTGAATCCCTGGCCCAATACATCTCTTACTGTTGAATTTTTTCCCCTTGATTTCAGGAATTCTCTTCACCTTTGGTTCCTGGGATCCTTTTTGTTCAATATTTAGGCTTTTCTTTTTTAGTTTTTTTCTTCCGCTCTTTAGTCAGTAATGTATCTTATTGTTGTGCTCTCTGTTTTCTATATCCTTGTTTGTATTGTTTATATGTTTGAGTGACTTCATATTTCCCATTCTGTGTAACATCTCATGATATGTGGGATTTTCCACCGATATGTATACAAGTTGATACTGAAAACAAAGCTTATTACTCTCTTATCCTCTCATTTTTAATTTTTGCAGTATCAAGGATAAACCTAGGGCCTTGACACTAAGCTACCACAGCTTTTGTTATTTTTTTTACTTTAAAACAGGTTATTGCTAAGATGCCTGTACTAGGCTCAAACTTGTGATACTTCTGCCTTCACCTTCAAGATAATAAAGTTCATGTACTGCTATACCTGGCTCTCATTTTCTGCCCTGAAAAGACTCATCACCATTTTTTTTTTAAGTTATATCGTCATCCTTGACCACTATTCTCCTTGTCCATAATCTTGCTGTCAAGCCAATTCTAGTTTCTTTAAGCCTTAATCTTTTACTTCTCTACCACCTCCTTATGTCCTTTCATGCAGGTACACATCACATAAGGCCTAGGTTAGTGTAATTCTTTTCACTTTGCTTGCTCTCTGTCCTCATCTTATATAAAACTTCTGAAGTGATGCTCTTCAAACTCCATTTTCATGATGCTTCATTTTCACTGAACATTGAACAGGTAACTCCTTTCAGAGCAGTGACGTTCCAGGTTCTCCATTACCTTGTCCTCCATGCCTAACCTGCCTCAGCTTCATTACTCTCGCATGTTTACTTTGACTCATCACATGCAAACTTCTACAGCTTTCTACTGCTATCCTATAAGCCCTTGCCTCTGTGCCTTTATCATGGTATTGTTTTGTTTAGCCCCAGCTCATGTTCATTACTCCCTTCAAAACCTATCTTCCTTTCTACCTTCTGAGTGATTCCCCTGATGGACTTCACTCACACCGAGACCTCCCTTAGTCTGTGCTGCCTCGGCACTCCTCTTGAGTTTCTACTGTGATCAATGCACTTACTAATATGTTGCTCTGCAATTATTT